AGAACCAGAATACATAGAATATAGAACCAGAATACATAGAATATAGAACCAGAATATATAGAATATAGAACCAGAATATATAGAATATAGAACCAAAAAAGCAATGACAATTCTGAGCAATAAGAGTAAAGCAGGATGCATCCCAATCCCAGATTTCAAATTATATTACAAAACTACAGTGATAAAACAGCATGGTACTAGACCAAAAAAAAACCAAAAAACAAAACAAAAAAAAAAAAAACAAACCACAAAACAGATGTGGATCAACAGAATAGAATAGAGTGTTTAGAAACAACCCCAGGCACATTCAGACATCTAATACTTGACATAGGTCCCAAAAATATACACCAGAGAAAATATACCCTCTTTAGCAAATGATGCTGGGAAAAGTGGCTATCTACATGCAAAAGATTGAATTTAGATTTATATTTCTCACCATGCACGGATATTCCTCATTTAATGACTTACCTATTGAACAATGGTTTGGACTTATGACTAAGATGCTATTGGAACTCATGGCATGTCACCTGGACTTACTGCCCACCTTTTTTTTTTTTTTTTTTTTTTTTTGGTGCAGTTCTGTACATCTTGTTTATAGAGCCTCAATGTCATTTTCTGATATACACCTTGTTTTTACAGTACTGTAATTTTTGCTGATTGTACCACATAGAACAGTACTATAATTTTATGTTCTGTCACTACCTAAATATGAGAGTCATCCTAATAAAAGCAAAGTCACCAAGGTGCAGTTTCCTTGGGTGATTTCTTTGTTCTGAATATTGGAATACACATACCATATACAATTCCTTATTTAGTAATCAACCAATGACCTAGTTGAGGGAATGGAACTGAAGTCATTAAACAAGAAGTGCGTGCACTCAAATAAAATAAAAATGGATCAAAGATCTGAATGTTAAAACAGAAACAATCGGCTGGAGGATAAAATACATACAACCCTTGAAGTTGTTACTTGAAGTTGTATAGACATAAGCAAGAACTTTCTGAATAGAATCCCATTTACACAAGAAATAACATCAACAATCAACAAATGTGATTCTATTAAACTAAAAAGCTTTGGCACAGCAAACGTAAAAACCAACAGAATGAAGAGACAACCTACAAAATGAGAAAAAAAATTGCTTGCTACCTCACAGAGGACTAACATCTAGATATATAAATAACTAAAAAGAGAGAGAGATAGACCCTCCCCCCCCAAAAAAAAGAAAACCTAGTCAAAAAGTGGGTAACTTACTTCTCAGAAGGAAGTATAAATGGTCAATAAATACATGAAAAAATATTTCACCTCTCTAGCCATTAGAGAAATGCAAATTGAAAAAAGCGCCGAGATTCCATCTTATCTAGACAGAATGGCTATCATCAAGAAAGCAAATAATGACAAGTGCTGACAAGAGAGAAGAGTCCTTTTACAATGCCAACGGCAATGTAAACTAGTACAACCGCAATGAAAACCAGTAAAGAGATTCCTCAGAAAATTAAAAATAGAAATTGCATTTGATCTAGCTAGTCTCCTCCTCAGTATTTTCCCCAAAGAGTTAAAGAGCATATCATGGTGGCACAGGCACACTCGTGTTTACAGCAGCACAACTCATAATAACTCGATCTTGGAAGCAGTCTGTATGTCCATTAACAGGTAAATGGCTAAAGAAAATGTGGCACTTTCATACAGTGGAGTAGTACTTTGCCATAAAAATAAAGTTGAGTCCTTTGTAAGAAAATGGATGCACCTTGAGATAATAATGTCAAGGGAAATAAATCAAACACGCAAGCTTACGTAGCCCATGGGTTCTCTTATATGAATATAAGTAAAGAGCAAAATAAAGAGAAAAGAACTGTGATATGTTATATACATTTACCAACTTTCCATTTACCAACTTTGCAGTCATCAGTATGTACTGCAAAAATGTGCTAATAATTGCCGGGGAGATGGCTCAGCACTTCTCTGGCAAGCACAAGGGCCTGAGTTCAATTCCTGGTTCTAAGAAAAAAAAAAAAAAAAAAAAGGTGTAGGGCCGGCCAGATAGCTCAGCAGACTAAAGCACCTGCTTAGGCAGAGCACAGTGGCTGGGGTTCAATCCCTGGCATGCTGTGCCAGCCCCGCCCACGAGACTGAAGACAGGAGAGTCACTATGAGTCTGATCTACGTAGTGACATCCTGCAGACCCTGTACTAAATACAACAATAAAATAAAAAATGTAAAAACAAACAAAAATAAGTGATAGGGCCGGGGAGATGGCTCAGTAGAATAAGTGCTTGCCTGGCAAGTGCAAAGGCCTGAGTTCAATCCCCAGTTCTGCCCAAAAAGCAATAGCAGATAGGAATTCAGCCACAGCTAAGTGGTTGCCGGTATAGGCTAAGTCCATGTTCAGAGTGTTGTTACTGGCACTAATTGGGATACTGTATTTTCTGTTTTTTTGTTTGTTTCGTTTTATTTTGTTTTGTTCCAAACCTATTGCTTTTGCCCCAAGCAAAACTTTTTTTTTTTTTTTTTTAAGAGAAAGTCTTGCTAAGTTGCAAACTGGACTGCTTTCACTGAGTAAGTTCCCTAGCCTTTTCAAGCCTTACTTTTGTTGGTTAAAAAGATACAACTGTACCATGCACCTCCAAAGGTTATTAGGGAAAATAAGCAACACAGTGCAATTTGGTGGGGACAAAGTAAGCCACTTAAGGAAAGCATATTGTTGTTATCATCACCACCATCACTTCTCACCAGTCACAGATGGTCACCTACTTGCTCCACGGCTCTGTAGGCACTCACAGCATTAATCCAAGCTAAGACTGGGCCTTTGTTGTCTGTTGCTCCTCGTCCATAGAGTTTTCCTTTAAAAAACAGAATACTTTCAAAATAGTATGGACACCTCTGCCAATTTGAGACTGTTAGAAACCTATATCCTTTATAGGCAATAATCTTAAAAATACTTCTAAATATTCCAGATACAAATCTTGATCTGAAATTGCAAAGTGTGATTTCTTACATACAAATGGTATGGTCAACAGCTAATCAGTAAAATGAGCTAATGTGAAACAAAGACCTTCCACTGGGCCCCTCAGTAATCAGTTATTTTATCCAACCTCACTGAGGTACCAGAGGATTTGTTGTAGAACAACATACTTCACAGCCTCTCACTCTGAGATTTCACAATTGACAAAATGAGAAAAAGACATATATACATCCCTACTAACCATTCTTATTCTTCTCCTCCTCCTCCTCCTCCTCCTCCTCCTTCTTCTTTTTCTTCTTTTTTTTTTAAATGTATTGGTTTTTTCACGATCTCCCTACACAGCTGGGACTCGTGGTGATCCTCCTGCTTTCAGCCTCTCCAGCACTGGGATTATAGGTGTGCACAACTATGCCCAGTCTGGGCCGGCTCAGCCCGCCCTAAGGGCAGGGCCGGCGCAGCATGTGGTGCCAGGATCAAACCGTGGTCCCTGCACTTGCCTGCTCCTACCTAATCTTGTCTAAGCAGGTGCTTTAGTCCAGAGCTATCTCGCTGGTCTTACCCTTCTTCCTTTTTCCTATAAAATACAAATTACATTTGACATTTTCATTTTTTTTAATGTAGTTAGCATAAGGTCTACAGGGTGTACAGGGTCTCATTAGGTAGCTCAGACTCTTAGTGATCCTCCTATTTTCAGCCTCTCGAGCACTAGGATTACAGGCGCAGGCCACCAGGCTCAGTCTCAATCACAGTCTCAGTGCGCCGCAGGGGTGGGGCCCGCAAGGCATGCCAGAGATCAAACCCTGGCCGCTGCTCTCTGCCGAAGCAGGCCCTTTAGTCCGCTTTGCTATCTGACCAGCCCATATTTGACATTTTTAAAAAGAGAAAGGGTTGACCCCAGTGCCTGAGAGCCCCCATTAAAGAGCACAGAGTTTTATAGTTTCACAAGGGAAAGGATTTCAAGCTCACTGATGAATTTGTAGACTGAAAGCAGCTCTTCTCTTTGTCCTTAATGACCAGCAAAGACCTGGAGCTTGGGTAGAACCACATCTTAAATTCTTAAACCTTGTATGCAAGCCCTGAGGAGTCAGCATTTAACTAACCATCCACTTCTGTGAGCGTGTAAGGATCGGTGAGCCACCCGTCATCCTGCTGAGCAGACTGCACATCCAGGTGCCCATAGAAGCACACAGTGGGTTTCTGTGGGTCGTTCCCCAGCTGAGCCAGTATGATGGGAGGTACAGGAAGACTCTGGCCACCAGGCAGCTGCAGGAGGATGATAAATCACAGTGTTAAACCTTCTCACCCCCCAAAACAAACCTTGCATTTTCCCCCCAGAAAATTCAGAATATGAAAGTATGAGTTTTATCTATCTGTAGACCCTGTGAAGAAGTGATCCCAACTTTTTTTGTGACCAGCAGTAGTTTTGTGAAAGGACAATTTTTCCACGGATGGGTTGAGGGATGGTTTTGGGATGGTTCAAGTGTATTACATTTATTTCTATTATTGTTATATTTTAAGATATAATGAAATAATTATAGAACACTACAATGTAGTCAGTGGGAGCTCTGAGTTTGTTTTTCTATGACTAGCTGATTCCATCTTGCCACTACTGTAAAGCCTGTCATAAGATGTGGCTTAATTTTTGCTTGCCCCTCTCCAGTAAGGTTTTGAGCTGAGTCTGCAAACTACTGAGTTATTTTGATCTCTGTGCAGTAAAAGGCCTGCCTATGTTAATCAGTGTTTGCCACCACTCCATAGTGTTAGCATCACTTCCTCAGCTCTACCTTAGATCATCAGGCATTGGACTCTCACAAGGTGCATGCAAGCTAGATCCCTTGCATATGCAGTTCATATTAATGTTTGTGCACCTTTGGAAATCTAAGGCCTCTGCTGACCCAATGGTAGGTGGAGCTCAGGCAATACTGCAAGTCATGCAGAGTGGAATACAGATGAAACTTCTCCACACCTGCTATGAAGCTCAGTTCTAGCAAGCCAAAAACTGGTACTGGTCCATGTCCTAGGGTTTGGGGACTTCTGTTGTAAGGCCGATGTCTTTGTCCTGAGCATCACTTTCTCTATCTCTAAACTAGTATCATGAAGCATATATTTTATAAAAAATACAAAACACAATTTAAAGTAATGTGCTTCCATTGCTACTCAGTAGTAAGTAGTGTAGTGAATAAGATGTACTCTTCAATAAGAACTCAGATCTTAGCGAGTTTAAAGTAGGCAGGCAGGATGCTGGACAACTTGGACTGTCTGATGTTTTCAATGCTAAAGAAGGTTTCACTGGGCACTTAGATTTAGGATTAACATTCCTGATGGAGTGGCAGTTCTGAGCAATGATTCTGATGAAAGAATGTAGCTATATACACGGGACTTCAAGAAAGATGCATATGAATTTAAGGTAAAGGGCCATTGGGGAGAATGTAACTCACGAGTGCAGGAAGTGAACAGAGAGTAAGGAGGAAGGGATCTTTCCGTAACAAACTGATCTTCACTCACCTCCTCCATTTCTATATGACACTGCCTTTAGCCCTTACATGACTAGAATACTATGGTCTAATTTGAGACTAGGTGGAATGTTTCAGCCTTATTGGGTATTAGGACACTAGGGGTGTGGTTTGGGGTAAGGTCAAGCCCCTCACTTGCTACTCCAAAGGAAGGCTGAGTTATAACATCAGCCACAGAAGCAGTGGCTGCCTAACCATCAGGAGACCTGCCAGCACCTGCTGAGAACCCAAGTCCACAGAATCCACTCCAGCTCCCAGACGCTGAAGCTTGTCCTCAGCCATAGCCATCATCCGGAAGAGTTCTTGTCTAAAACGAGGCAGAGGCTGAACAGAATCACTCTCAACAGCCACCCACTCCTTGAGTGTCTGTAAGAGAAGGCGAGAGGGTCTCAGTATGGGGAAGAGGCTCCATCCATATGGGTAGGAAAATAGGAGAACAGGGGACAAAAGTTTTACAGACTATGCTAGTAAACAAAGTGGCATTGAAGATGAACTGACAGACGAGCTGGGTGTTTATGGGAGAGCCTAGATGCCAGAGGTGTTTTGTTAGCAATGAAAATGAGGCAGGACAGATAGTAGAAGATGGTGGCACTCTCCCTGTACCTCCAAGCCCAGTGGGCAGTGAGGTAACATTCATAAAATAACTCCTTTGCAAAAGCATCACCAGGTGATGTGGTTCATCTCACTTTCTGTTACTTTCACATATCACATACACGCTTGCTACTCAGGCCATCCAAAACATTGAATAATAATAATAATAATAATAATAATAATAATTCTAAATTATTTGCCAAGTCTTACAAAGATTCCCATAAAGACTTAAAACAGAGCAGAGAAGATAGCTCAGCGGTCTAAGCACCTGCCTGAGCACAAGGACCTGGGTTTAATCCCCGATACTGTATGCTATGCCTGCTCCTGAAGCTTAGGAGTGCCATGCTGGCTACCAAGATTGGCATGGTGGTGCACACTTGTAATCCCAGTTCTGGGAGGCTGAGATAAGAGGATTGCTATGATTCTGAGCTGCATAGAGAGACCCTATACCAAATAAATAGATAAGAAAATGATTTTTAAAAATTAAAAAAAGGGCTAGCCAGATAGCTCAGCAGACTAAAGTGCCTGCTTAGCAGACTGCAGCAGCCGGAGTTTGATCCCCAGCATAATGTGCCGGCCCTGCCCCTGGGGCACTTTGAGACTATGATTGGAACTGGGTATGGTGGTGCGTGCCTATAATCCCAGTGCTTGGGAAGCTGAAAACAGGAGAATCACTAAGAGTCAGATCTATGTAGTGAGACCCTGTAGACCCTGTTGACCCCGTACTAAATGCATAAAAAAAATTTAAAAAGACTTAAAACAGCTCCCATTTGTCAAAAAAATATAAAAGCACTAAATGTAGTATTTTCCAACATTGATACTAATAAAAGATTATAGCCTGAGCAAATGGACCTTACACAATAATGACATGGTTTTATTGTTATAGAATGCACTGATAGCCAGTAGGTGCTGGGTTGTGCTGAAAGAGTGTCAGTTTCAAGTAATAATTACAAATAATCATTCATATTTCAGTATTGGAAACTGAATTTCTTGTGCTGGGAACTAGGATAGTGTTTGTTTGTTTGTTTGTTTGTTATTGTATTTTAGGGAAGGGTCTACAGGGTGTTCAGGGTCTCACTACTAGATTGGACTCAGAGTGATCCACCTGATCAGCTGGGATCACAGGCGTGCGCCATCACACCCAGTCTCAATTGCCATCTTAGTGCACTCCGGGGGCAGGGCCTGCACTGCAGGCCCAGGGATCGAAACCCCAGCCCTTGCTCTGCTTGTAGGTGCTTTGATTCTCTGAGCTATTTGGCCATTCCTAAAATAGTTCTTTTTCAAAAAATTATACATATTTTGGATGACTGATCTTAACTCCTCTCCCTAACTTTTGTTTTTTTTAGGAGATCTCACTAAGCTTCTTAGATTGGCCTCAAGCCCATGGTCCTCTTGCCTCAGCTTCCCTATAAGTTGAGTTTATAAGCAGGCTCCATCATATCCAGCCCTAATTTGTTTAAGTTTGATCTCTTTCTCCTGGTTGTAATACTCTTATTTTAGGTGAATTTATTTAAGGAAAATTGTGTCTTATGTTTTACAACTAAAATTTGTAAAGCAATGTTGCTGAGTTCTCCCAAAACTGGGTGGTCTAGGTGTGCTTAAGGCAGTTGGGAAGAGGGGGTGTTTAGCTAAAAACCTCAATCAGCACTTGATTACCACAAGGAAATGTTTTTCAAGCCCCTGTTCATTGCAGCCAATTATAGATAAATGCTCAAGTTCTGAAAATTCAAGAGGCTTTTACACTCAGTTAATATTGCAACAGGAAGAAGGATTACATAAAGGTCAAGCTTAGAAACACTAGCCTGAACATTCAGCTTTGAGCCTTTAGCATGAAGCATGAAAATATCACACCTGTTTGCTTGACAGTATTCCTAAAATTGGTTGACTGATCCCAATAAATACGTATTAACGCCTACTATGTACTACAAAATTCAGTGAGACCCCAAGGAGCTTCAGGCTGCTCATCTCTCTTTCTGCTCCCAAGGCCTACCTCTCTCCCTCCCCTTCCTTGTCACCTTCCTCCTCCCCTCTACCCAAATGCCCACACTATGGGCCAATAGCCATCTAATGAGTTAGGAAAGAGGCAGAGGGTCCTAAAGGAGGACACCAAGTGTCCACTGCACATGTGCTGTAAACACAATATTGCACTGACTTCATGGCTCTTTAGCCCCCAGCTTTGTCCAGACCTCAGCAGGAGCCAGTGGCATTACTAGTGGGCCACCTGATGGACCAGAATATATGTGAGTTCTATGGTGCTGTCATCTCCAAGTGGACAGTCCTGGATCAAATTGCTAGGGATGGATAAATAGTGCCCTTTCAAGAAGGAGTGGAGAGGGAGAGAATCTCTTTCGCAGAGCTAATGAAGAACAATTATTTTAATTTAATGAGGAGTCACAGGCTTTTAAGTGTAATCATGACATCAGGCACAAAAATCCACATCTTCCAGAAAATAATGATTTCACAAGATCCTAGATCATAACCCAAGTGTTCACGCATAGCTTCTCCTACCTGTACAAATTCATCCTGGTGCAGGTCAATGTACTGAAAAACCTTGTCCAATGGCCCGGAGGGTGGGGGGAATGAGGAGAACATTCCCCCTTCAAGCAGCAGCAGCAGTGCCATGAAAGAGGAAGCCTGTTAATGGTTAATGACAATTAAAGTAAGTGCCATTGTCAGAATTCCAACCTTTTGAATGCTTCGGGAAAAACTTAACCAACACAGCTGCTCGAAGTTAGGTGGACTAAAATAACAAGAAATGATAGAACTAGAAAATGCATTTCCCCCCAGTCATTTTCATTTCAAAGCTAAAGTGTTCTAACAAGACAGAACCCAAGTTAATGAGTTTGGCTTTAAATCATAGAACTCAGGTTATGCCTATGACATGGTCTTGCCCACTTCTTGTGAAGGGAAGCCAGTGCTAGTGTCTCAGTGTGAGGACCAGTATTTGAGAGAGAATTGTGAAGTCAAACAATCAGAAACATGCCAAAAATGGCTGTGTGTGCTGAACCACCACTGAAGAATGCCTGAAATCTTGTGCTGTGTTTTGGGGTGTCTTTCTTTCTACCCTAGCAATTGAAGAATATTTTTAAAAAGAAACCTAAACATCTCTGTGCTAAACAATACAGAGGCACAATCACCTCCTAGAATGCCTCCGGTCCTGGACTTTGCCTGTGCTTTCCTAGCTCCTTGCCACCTCTATGGTCTCTCTGGCCTGATGGGTCCTCCTTCCCTTTAATAGGGACTGGCCCCTTATCTGCCTGCTTTCCACTCCCTATCCTCTTGTTGTGTGGAAAAGCATGGACCCTGAAGGTGGGGAGCTCAGGGCTCTGACACAGCCCCATCAATCCCTAGAGATGGGCAGATATGACTCCTCTGGATGTCCCACCTGCATCTGAGACATCAGGTTCCACTGCCTGGCGCATCTTCAATAGATGAATGCATAAACAAAATGTGATATACTCACATAATGAAATAGCATTTAGCCATTCAACATGATGAAGTACTTGGCAAAGAAAAAGGAATGAAGTACTGACAAATGCTATAGCCTGGATGAGTCTTGCAGACACTGTGTCAAATAATCAAGCCAGATACAAAGGGCTACTTATTGTACGATTCCACTCACACAAAAGTCTGGAATATGGAAGCCCATTGGGACAAAGTAGATCAGTGATTACCTAGGGGGCAAATGGGAAGTGACTTTCAAAGAATAGGGAGTTTATTCTGCACGATGATGACATTCCAAATTTAACTGTGGCAATGGCTGTACTACGAGTCTGAATACACTGAAAGCCATTGAAGGGCCTGACTTTTTTTTTTTTTTTTTTTGCGGAACGGAAGATTGAACTCAGGCTCTTGTGCTTGCCAGGGAAGCACTTATTCTACTAAGCCATCTCCCCGGCCTCTGGCCTGGCTTTAAATGGATGAATTGTGAAGTATATGAATTTTGTCCAAATACAGGCATAAAAATAATTTGAAATATAACCACTTACTTGACAAAAGAAATCTATTATTGACTATGAAAAATGTATATAAAAGAAGATAACAGTGGCTGAAATTAGGGTCCAAGTGAGCTAAGTTCATAAACAGATTAAGTACTTGGTCCAGCAGGTGGTGCTGATGAACCAATCCCGAGCTCTTCTGCATTTAATTCTAAACTGGCCCTACATTTCACTAAGCTCTGAGGCACTCAGCCAAGAGCTAGGTAACAAATAGTAAATCAGAAAGTACTGGTGCCCACAGACCTCTGATTCAGGGAAAGGAGCTCAGAGCACTTAGCAAAGCTTCTATGTAGACATTTTGAGATAACTATTTTTTTAGATTTCACCATTTAATTTAACATGAAAAAAATTTTAATTAAATTTCCATTTAAAAAGTTATTTGCTGTTCCTTTCCAATGAAAAATAAAAAGAGTAAACTGAAGAAGAAAAGGAAGTCATGGGAAAAAAGGTAAAACAGAATGGTGGATTTCCGTGGGAGCTGCCTCTTCCATGGCTACAAGGCCTTGTCCTTCTAAAGGACCAACCATGCTGCCATGATCCTGATAGCATAGGGCAAGCTGAGAGAGGTTGATACTACACTTTTCACGTGCACAAGAATTTTGGTACAATCATCTACTCTCATTATAAATACTGAGCACTTCTACTTACTATAGGGTATCGTTTTAAGAAATTTCAACGGACTGACAGTTGTCTGTCAACTTCAGACTCTGGAGAGATCCAAGAACTCAGCATGTAAAGATCTGGGGAATTCTAAGGCTAAGATGGTTAATGACTATCCATTAGTGGAAGGCCCAGTGGATCCCTGAGCTCTGTTAAGTGGGACATTCTTGCTGTAGAAGGTCATATATCAGCTGATACCAGCCTGGGCCACACTGCCACAGAGCTTCTAGTCTCCTGTGCACAGCAGCAGCCAGGAGGAGGCTGGGAGCAGGGCAGCTGGGGCAAAACCCTGCTGTGCTGGTTGTCTTGGTGTTGCACGGAATACAGGATGGAAAGGGGGAGCCCTGTTACTTTCTACCCCAAAGCCTTTGCCCATGACAGGTTGTCTGAAATAAGAAATACAGTTCAGTGTGGCCATCAAGGTGTACTTACCAATTCGGCTTCTTTGTGTGCTCGTTTGACAGACTGCTCTGTTTTGTTTCTGCTTTGATGAATTTGTTATAACATGAAAATGGAATAAAGCCTAGTTTATCTCAGCATGACGGGATTTAAGAAAAAAAAAATACTGGTTTTTCTGGATTTTAATGGTCTCCTGCAAGTGCAACAGAGCCAAAGGATTTCATTTAACTGAAAGGCATGAGGGCCGGCAAGACATCTCAGCAGACTCAGCAAGTCCGAGGTATGTAGTGAGAC